CTAGATGATTTTGTTGTCTTGTGTCTGCTGGGTATTTCTGAAAGTTAGAGATGTTTTATCTGTAGAAAATTTAAGTATTTCTGGGAACTCATAGGTACATTTAAGGTCTGATTTTTTTTTTTTTTTAATTGAATATGTCTATGTTGATAGTTGGATTGGAACGAATATTTATATGTGAAAAAACACTTGAAAATAGCCAGTACACAGATAGGAGCTGAGATGTGTGGAAATTAGTTAAAAGTCTTATTTTGCATTATCCCTCTTTCCAACTATTGATTATCTTCTCTTTTTGTTTCCTGGATGCTGCTTATGTATCACTGAAACACCGTAGATTGATGAATTTAGGGATGAGATTGATCAGTGCTACATGGGTCAAGTTGTGAAACTGCTCTGTGATTAAGGAATAATACTGACTGAGTATTTAGGAAATTCAGTCATGTTTTGAGTCTCTGAGCAGAATGATTTCCACAGTTTTTGGAATTTGTTTCACGAGGTTGGGATTGTAGTAAAAAGTTACTTCAGTCTCTTCTATCATGAAGGAAATTCTTTATTTTTCCCAGGGAGGGAAGACTGTTTTTTTGCAATGCAACTCATGATTGAGCTTTGTAGAGTTCTTTAAGTATGCCGACACTGGGTTATGATTTCCTTCCTGATAGTTATCCTTGTTGCTGCTCATGGTTATGCTTTAGGAAGAAGCGCTAGTGTTTTTTAAATGTTTGTTAGCTGTGCTGGGATGCGTATTGGGTTTCGACTGGTGAGTTTGAGATGCTACCCAGTTTAGGCCAGTGTCACCGCTTTCCTTCAGGTGGATTGAGATATTTAGTTTCCCCTTTCGGTTATTCAAAGTCTAAACACCCTCTTTATGCTCCAGTATTTACTGTGGAGTAATATTTCTGGATAAGCCCAGACCATATCTCAGCTGTCTTGCCAGATTTCATCTCCTCCTGATACCTTGAGCCTCAGTGTTAGCAGTTTCAGCACTTCAGCGTAGTATGACCTGCAGAATGAAAGTTACTCTCAGTTGAAGCAGAGATCTCAAGGTTTCTATGATCATTTTTGGGACGTCCTCTTCTTTTGTTATCGCCGATTTCCTACTTCTCTTTCTTGTCAGCTGATTACATTAACCATCACTTGGCTTCTCATGCCCTATATGGTTATTAGGAGTTACATGGCTTTCATCTTTTCCTTTCATTGTTTTTTTCTTCTCCAAGCCTTAACATATGTCCTAATTAAAGAATGCAAGCCAATAAAACTGTTTCTTGTACCTAGACACCCATTTTCCAGATTCACCATCTTTTCAGCAAGTTTCCAAAACCTGGTTAAGTTATTTGTCTGAGACAGAATTCTATATTTCTTATCTGTGGGCTGCGGGGCTATGTAAAGAGTTTACAGCTCCAGTGGATCTGAATATCTTCAGCTACATCAATGTCAGATGATATCTGCATATTGAGAAGAAACAGATGTTTGATCTGGAATATTGTGTACAGTTAATCCAGCGACTTCCTTCTGTCTGTAGAACTTCCTCTTTTAATTTTGTAACTATATCATCTGGCGGTTGTGAATAGGGACTACTAGACTTTTATGGGCATTAATTATGAGAGCTTTGTTTTTGGACTGAGAAAAAGCAGTTAGTGGTGTCTGCTACCTCTACTGGAGGTTGGAGATTTACTTTAAAGCTGCTTCACTTTCTGGGATCTCTAGTGTGTGTTTGCTCTGAAGTTGAGATTGATTGACAATATACTACACAAAAGACAGGGTCAGTGTTATGCAGTGAACCTGAAAACAGATGGATGTTTCTTGATAGCACAAGGATTTGATATGATCTTTCAGATTTTGCATTCGTTTCATTTTACTAGTGCCCTTCTGCTCAGTTTCTAGCATATATCTTTGGGAAATCAGCTTTTGTGGTGTGTTGTGTATAGATCATGCTGGAAAGAGACACTGGTCGTTCACGTGGATTTGGGTTTATCACTTTTGCTGATCGTCGGGCTATGGATGAGTCTATCAGAGAGATGCATGGAAGGGACTTTGGTGATCGGGTCATCTCAGTGAACAGAGCTGAACCGAAGATGGGCCGAGATGATGGGGAAAGTCATGGTTCTAGAGGTGGCAGAGACAGTAGCTATACATTTGCTGGAAAAGAAAGCTTTGGTGGAGGTGGAGGTGGCCGTGTTGCTGAAGATGAGTGCTTCAAGTGCAGACGGGTTGGGCATTGGGCCCGTGATTGCCCATCTGCTTCTGGTGGTCGTGGTGGACCTGCTGGTGGTTTTTCTTCCCGTGCTGGTACATTTGGAGGATCTGATGGACGTGTGGACCGTTATGCTGACCGTGATCGCTATGTGGACCGTGAACGGTACATAGATGACCGATACGACGGTGCTGCACGCTTTGGTGGTAGAGACAGGTTTGACAGCAGAGAGGCCTACATACCCCGCGATCGCTACGCCAGTGACAGGTTAGATTCTTATTAACTCTGTTTACAGTTTTCAAATTGGCTTCCATTTCGTTGCATGACTTGAAAACCTGGCTCTGATGTATTTGTTTTACAGGTATGCAGCTCCGGCTGATCGGTTTGCAGGTGGTGATAGATACAGCCGCGGATCAGACCGTTATCCTCCAGCGAGTTATGACAAAGCCCGGTCCTTTGAGAGAGACATAGTCCCGAGTGCAGGCAGTGACAGGTACGGTGGTGGTAGAGTTGGTGGGCCCATACGTGGAGGAGACGAAGCAAGAGGCTTTAGAAGCAGAGCTGGTGGCCCTTATGAGAGGCCGAGCCGAAGCGGTGGTGGTTATCCGTCGTCCTCTACTTTTGACCGTTACTAAGGCATATGAATGAAGGGTGTGATTGATACTTTGGTTAGGTTTTATATACACTCACGCTTGTTCTTGTGTGTGTATGTGTGGCAAATGAATCTCTGTAAGCCTTTTAGGTGTAAAGACTATTTTTATTTTATTTTTCAATTTGGAGAACTCTTTAGCTTTGTATTTTGATATCTTTTTAACATTACATGACTTCGAAGTTTATAATCTAGTTTTCTTTATCTTACTAGAGTCATTATTATTACTGTTAGACGAATGTTTGAATTTTTATTATGTTATAAACCGAGCCTGATTATAATATTTAGGCCCAATCAAAGCAGGCCCAATAAGTGGTAAGTTGAAGTTTATGTTTTTATTTGTAGGGTTACTGCTTTATGTAAATTTTGGATAATAAAAGGTCCAAAAGAGTAAATAAAACCCACCCAAAAGTCACGCTCTTCACTCTCTTCTTCTCTCAGAAAAATGGAATTGTGAAAGCCCTAAACCCACCGCGACGAAGAAGAAGAAGATGGATCGCAAGGGAAAGGGAAAGCTAGTCGCCGGGAAAGGATCGTCTTTCGGTGAAAAGAAACGGAAAGGAGGAGTCGAGTTCAGAGATGAAGGCTTGAGGATTGATAGTAAGCGGAAAAAAGCTGAGATTCTTCAGTTCTTCGAGGAATCCGCTGAGGTTGGTTACTTTGGAGAGAGCTCCGACGAAGATGGCGATATAGATGATTTCCTTAACGGTAATTTCTGATTTCTTTTCTCTCTGGGTTTCGTTGATTTTCTTCTTGCATGCTTCGTAGCTCTCGGTTTCGTGTTTTGAGAGTACTCCGATGCTGTCACATTTGATGATTTAAGGCTGTTTTTTGTTTGCATTTAGATTTTTACCTGGTAAAATGGCGAAATTTTTGAGATTAGGGTTTGTGTTTGAGCTATGTTGTTTGCACACTCTTAAAGCCTGAGCATTGTAGAAGTTTTCCTTCTTTCTCTGACTACTCGTTTAAAGCAGATATGGAAGATGAACCTGAGGTGGGGGCAAGTGGTAAGGATGACAAAGGAAAAAAGGGAAACTCTTCTTTTGTTTTTCCAAAGGAAGAGGAGATCGACGACGAAGAATTTGATAGAATCATGGAAGAAAGATACAAACCTGGTTCCGGTTTTGTAAGATATGCTGATGATGATGTGAAAACTTCCATTGAGATGGATGCTCTTGTTCCAACTGCCCATGATCCTCCAATATGGAAAATCAAGTGTGCGGTATGTTAAGCTAAGAGTTATACTTATGATTTTTTAACCCAATATGTACTTACTTCTGTTGACTCCATTTGGTTTATGCTTGTAGATTGGACGGGAGAGGCATTCGGTTTTCTGTCTCATGCACAAGTTTTTCGAGCTGCGAAAGATAGGCACCAAGCTACAGATCTTATCTGTGTTTACTGTGGAGCATGTCAAGGGTTTTATCTTCATAGAAGCTGACAAGGAACATGCAATTCTTGAGGTACTAAACATTTAGCATGCCTATTGTTGTACCATTTAAATTCTTGACGTACTAAACAGGATGTTGGAGGATGGTGCTTGATCATAACGAATATGACATTCTGATTTACCTTTTTTTCCTAGGCATGCAAGGGTTTAAATGGTATCTATGCTACTCGGATGATGTTACTTCCTAAATCTGAAGCTCCCCAGCTGCTTACTGTCCAAAGAAAAACGAAAAAGTATTCTGAGGGAAAATGGGCTCATGTTAAGAGTGGTAAATACAAAGGAGATCTTGCTCAGGTACAATTCCTTTTGCTTTATATGTTTCCTTTTGAGCTTGTTGCCTTCGTAACTCTGCCTAAGCTTTCTATGCTCTATGTTGTAGGTTGTTGCTGTGAGTGACAGTCGGAGAAAAGCCCTAATTAAGCTAATTCCAAGGATCGATATCTTGGCACTAACCCAAAAATATGTAGCTACCTTATCTTCACGCTCATTTATCTGTCTATGTCCCCAAAGTTTATTACTTTATTTTGTGTGTTCATATCATTTCTTCTACATATGTTCTTTAGCTTATCATTTGCTTTGTAGGGTGGAGGAGGTCGTGCCCCAAAAAGCCCAAATCCAGCTCCAAGATTGATCAGTTCGAGCGAGCTTGAGTAAATAACTTGATTTGTTCTCATTATCGTTAAACAGTTACCAAGTTTCTAATCTATCTTGTCCCCTCTTTTGTCACAGGGAGTTCAGACCTATCATTCAAGTCAGACGTGATCGTGATACTGGAATGACTTTTGAGCATCTTGATAGCCTGATGCTGAAAGATGGGTACTTATATAAAAAAGTATCCTTAGATTCATTATCTTCCTGGGGGGTTATACCATCAAAGGAGGAGATGCTAAAATTCGCACCTGTAGAGCGAAAGGAAACTGGTGATGTGGCGTGGATTTCTGAAATTTATGGTGAAGAAAGGGAGAAAAAGGATCTTCCAACTGGCA